AATAAATAAATAAATAAATAAATAAATAAATAAATAAATAAATAAATGAATAAATAAACAAACAAACAAACAAGATTTTTAAAAATGACTGTAATTACTTTTAAAAACCATTCTAAAATAACAACATTCATTTGACTTTGCTAGCAAAATGGAAGGAAAAAAAGCACATCATTAATTACAACTCCTAATCATGATTTCAATTCCATATTATGTTTACTAAAAATCATACTGTAGTATGATGTTTAAACTGAATTAAAAAATGCTATTTTGAGATGGAGGAAGTAGCAGCTACTAGTGACTTCAGGTAACTTGTCTGAGTTTTTGTTTCTGGGTTTTTGTTTTATTTTTTAATTTTATTTTTATTTTTTTTATGTGGGAATTACATTTCATACTTGGATTATGACACTATGGAGGACATTAGGAAACATTTTTTAAACTTTTTTAGATTCTTGAAATTGTCTGAAGTTTATAAGTAAGGAAACAAATAAATGTTTAGAGAGAATACATTCAAAGGTATCTAAACATTATTTACCTTGCCCCAATCTCGTTGGCTGTCAGTGCAGGCAGATGGCATCTTTGCTTTCTTTTTACTTTGTTTGAGCTTTTCCCCAGCTTTTACAACCTCGTTAGAATCATTTTTACACGAAGGACAGTACCTAAAACATTAATTATTTTGAAATCTATTAATCTATTAAACTATAAATAAAATATGAATAATATCAACATAGGAATTTTTTTGCAATATGCATCTGAAACACAATTCCTTGTGGGTTTATATTTCATATTTACATTTCTTGAAATTTCTTGTAAACCCCTTTCTTCTTTTAATCCTATGGATATTATTTATTTATTGCATTTATATGTTATTTTTTCTTCGTGGCTATAATTTTATCGTCATAGTATCATGTAACAGAGATTTAATTTACAAATTGACACAACATCATCCAGCAAACTCCATGACTGATTAAACCTCCAAAGTCTCAGTTCAAGGTCTATACTAGATAATTTGGCTTATGATGATATTTGGGACTGGAATTACCGCTAACTGATGCAGTCATAAAGCGTGACCATATCACTTAACGATGGCAATCCCTCCAATATCTGTTGCCTTCATTAACTGAAGCCTATGGTTGTTACATGAGGGCAACTTCCTGCTGGCTTCCCATAACCAATGTCAGTGGGAAAGCCAGTGGAAAGTTGCAAGTCCTAGACTGGCAGCTGGGTAGGTGGCTAATGCTGGGTAAGGAAGGGAATGCAGAGAAGGATGAAAAGAGCCATGCACTAATGGCTGACACAGAAGGACTAGGGTGAAAGTACACAGGTGGGGCAGACTTATCCCAGTGACTTGAGACTTTCCTGACAGCTTCCCCACTGACTTTCTGGGGAAGCTGCTAGGTTAGGTGGCAGGTGGCAACCATGTGATCATGGGGCACTGAAACCAGTCATTCATAGAAACTGGTTACCAAGCACCTAGACTGCAATCATGCGATCACAGGGGAGCATTTCCTCCAATATTATGAGATGGGGCTGTTGTTCTAACCGTAAATATTGTATGAGGGGTTTGGTCTTGAAATAAACAGGGCAAAATTAGATATAATTTGTTGCTTCTCTCTTGGCTTTAAGCTTGGTTTTGACACTGTGTTCTATAAAATGCAAAATTAAACCATGATCCCATATTATCATTACAGCATTAAGAAACAAAAACAAACTAGGACAAATCTGATAGATTTCTCCAGTGGAAGAGAAATTACATGAGGGAAGCTGTGATCATCGTTCTCTCCTGCAGCTGCAGGTTTAGGATAAGCATCTAACTTTCACATTTGGTAGCAGCTGGCTAAGCGAACAATATAACAATTACACTGTCCAAGACAATTAAGCCTTGATTTTGAGCAAGAACTGTTGAATGATAGTTACCCTAATTAGACAGGTTTTATGCTCAACAACTCCTGGATATTCTCTATGATAAGCAGAACAAAAAAAAAACCTACCATCTCAGCAAATACTTGCAAAATTAATCGTTTTACAAAAATTATATGATATTCCAAATTTAGCTTCTAAAGACTGCAGTTCCTAAAAGACTGCAATTATTTTGAAATTCTGAACATTTGGAATGAACTGCAAACAATCTCCCGGTAAACACAGCTTCTATTTGGTTCCTGTCAGAAGAAGTAGCTAAGTAAATCACAGAGCTGAAGATTATGAACAAATGATCTCTTTCAATTCTGAGTACAACAGGGTAAAGCAAAAATCTGAATTTTCACATCTATAAATTACAGAAGGAATTTATCTTTGTTTAGAAACTCTTGCTGGTAAAAGGAACAGGAGCATCAAGCCTATGGTTACTATGCAGTGGTTTCAATATCTAATATCACATATAAGAACTCCAAGAATTTCTAAAGCTAAAAGCATAAAATGTATAAATAAGGGTTACTAGTATGATTTCATCTGGTATTTAGAGTGTAGAGGAAAAAAATGATTTTTCCCATTCTTTTAGCACTAGAAGGGCATTAGAAATAACAGCCTCTATCAATGAATTTTAATTATATTGGCAATAAAACTGAATATATATAGACTGTGTGTGTGTGTGTGTGTGTGTGTGTGTGTGTGTGTGTGTGTACACGTGTGTGTGTACGCGCGCGCATGTGTTTCTTACCAGTCCTCATCTTCTGGTATTTTGCTAAGTGGTGGGTTCAGGCAATATATGTGGTAAGCCATATTGCACTCATCACAGAGAAGTTGCATGTGTGCATCCTGTTTCCCCCCACATAAATAACAAGAACAAAATCGACATTCTTTATCTGGGTCAGCTCTGCAATGTTTACATTCAGGACCACTCTTCCCTGCAAAGAAAAAAGAGAGTGTGAGGGAAATAAGGTGATTAAAAAGAGTCTTGAACACCAGCTGCACAGAAAATTAATTATATAAACCAAAAAATATTGAAAATATTAATAAGCATTGAAAAAGCAAATACAATGATCATCAAAATTCCCTAGCTTGACTTCCTGGGGTGAAAGCCACCAGGAAAACAAATTTAAATGCAAGCAAATGCAGGCTACCAGACAATCATTCATTCAAGATCATGAACTATGAAGTGTTCACTCTTTGTTATTGGCCAGAATACATTTGCACAGAGAGCTAGATCACACATTTTTGGTGTCTTGATGCACGTAAATAAAAGGCAGACAAAATGTTACCATATTACTAAAAATGCGTATTGTCTTACTGATTTCCCACAATGCCTGTAGAAATATTTAAAACTACAGGGACACATGGTCCAATATATATAAACTAAGCAAAGCACCCAGGCATCTGTGGAGATGGAAAATCAATATTGGAAGACGAGGTGAAGCTTTCCTTTCAGTAAGGGATCTTGATAACTTATAACTCACTTGGATCTCCTGCAAACATGGCAGAGAAGAGTTAGTCCCTAGACTGTTGCTGGTGCATTAACTGCTTCTTTAGGTGGCAATTCAGTTCAGCTATCTGGATTTCTTGCACTTGGTGGTTTTAGAGGGGAGAAGAAAGAGTATCTTCCTCTTGATTTCAATCAGTATCTGATCTAAGGAGACACCAAAATGTCTATTTCCTTAAAGTAACTGGAGGATAATACTGACTTAGGAGACACCAAGATAGAAACCGGGAGACTGTTGAGTTCTAATCCTGCTTTAGGCCTGAAAGCCAGCTGGGTAACTTTGGATTGCTCTCTCTGGTCAGTCTGACTCATCTCTCAGGGTTGTTTTGGGAAAATAGGAGAATAATATCAGGTATTTATTATTATTAGATTTTTATCCCACCTTTGTTTTTTTTATAAATAATTTGAGGCAACCAATATACCTAATACTTATTCCTCCTCATTTTTCCCCACAACAAGCCCGTGAAGTGGGTTGGGTTGAGACAGAATAACTGACCCAAAGTCACCCAGTCATCTTTTATGCCTAAAGTAGGACTAGAAATCACACTCCTATTTACTTACCTGGTGCTTTAAACTAGACCAAACTTATTCCTTTGAAGCTGTTGCCTGGAATGTCAAATCACATTGAAAAAACAGTTGCACTGAGTCCCTGGTAGACAGTTTTTCATCTAAAATCTCCTTCCTCACTAAGGACCTGGGGAAAAGATGGTTCTTTGGGCAAGTGGAAGAGAGCTACTTGGGCTGTTGATTATGTCTCTTAGAGAAATGTCTGCTGAAGAAAGACTATCCAAGTCATCTGAGCATTCGTTCAATATGTCCTCTTCCTCCTATAATTTCCTTCCTTTCCTTTAAATGCAATCAAGCAGTAATTTATTACAGTACTCAGGACTGAAGTAAGACTGTAAGATTACTCTCTAGTGTCACCTTGGGCCTATAAAAGACAATTATTAGCAAAAGAGGTTGGCAAATAAGCAGAATTTAAATATATGACAGTGGCAGCATAAATGTGCAAACCTTTGCAGATAATAAATCATTGTCTTCTGGTTTTCTCTACATATATCTTTCTCTACAAATATCTAAATCACACTCTAATATAAAGTTATTTCTATGAATTGTATATTTATTTGAAAAATATATTAATATATTTCTTTTAATAATAGCGTGTTTAAAATATTATTCAAAAATGGGAAACCTTTCATAGGCAGACCAATTACCTACTTTTGAACTCTCCATCTGCAAATGTCAATGGATATGCTCCTGGTTTTTCAATCTTGTATATTTCTTCTATAAAACGTAGTTTGCAATCATTTATTACATCTTCTGGGCCCCTGAAATTAAGAAACAAAATATTCAACTCACATGATCAGAAGTATATATTACAATTATACTGAAGGAGGATACAGACTTGCAGCAAGTTAAAATTTATAGACCTATATCCCTACTAAATTCAGATTACAAAATCTTTGATTCTATCTTGGCAGAAAGACTGAAAAGATATTTAAATAACTTTATCCATGCTGATCAAAATGGATTTCTGCCAAAGAGACAAATCAAAGACAATGTGAGAATAATCTTGGACACTTTGGAATTCTATGAGGCACATCCTGAAAAGCAAATAGCCTTGATGTTTTTAGATGCACAAAAAGCTTTGACAATGTGAGTTGGCAATTCATCTTACTGCAATTAATACAAATGGGCTTTGGTAAAAAAATTATCCAAGCCATTGAAATGATATATCATAAATAAACTGCAAAGGTGATGGTAAAGGGAGAATTAACAGAATCCATAGATATAAGAAAAGGGACAAGACAAGGTTGTCCACTGTCACCTCTGCTGTTTGTGTTAACATTGGAAGTGTTGAATAGGAATATTAGAGATGAAAAAGAAATAAAAGGAATGAAAATTAAAAAGGAAGAGTATAAATTGCAAGCCTTTGCAGATGACCTGGTATTTATATTAGAGGACCCATTGGAAACAGCACCTACATTAATAGAAACGATAGAAGAATATGGAAAAGTAGCAGGTTTAAAAATAAACAAAGATAAAACAAAGATATTAACAAAGAATATGTTAGCAAGACGAAACGAAGAGTTGGAAGAAGTTTTAGAAATACAGGTCACAAATAAGGTTAAGTATTTAGGGATATATATTACACCAAGATGTAGCACACTGAAGGAGGATAATTACTTAAACTCAAACAGCAGATTGCGACAGATTTGGCAAAATGGGAAAACTTACAACTATCATTGATTGGGAGAATATCTACAATTAAGATGAATGTATTGCCTAGAATTTTATATCTATTCCAGACAATTCAAATTCGACTAGGGAAAGGGTTTTTTGAAGACTTAAATAGAATTGTGCTGAAATATATTTGGCAGGGCAAGAAAGCGAGAATAAAACTTAAACTGTTACAAGATGCAAGAACAAGAGAAGGGTTTGCCTTGCCTAACTGGGAGTTATATTATCAAACAACAAATTTGATGTGGGTAAAGGAATGGGTAACATTAAGGAACAGTAGATTATTGACCTTGGAAGGGCATGACTTGCTGCTGGGATGGCATGCCTTCCTCTGGTATAAGAGAACTAAAACACAGGGGTATTTTAGAAGACATTACATTAGAGAGGTATTGTTTTTGAACTGGGAGAAGATAAAAAGACAATATTACTTAAAAATTCCATTATGGATATCTACTATCGAAGCTTTTTCTTATCCAATAATATATAAAAAGGAACAGTTAGATTGGTGAGATATTGAATGAAAAGGGTGAACTTAAATCTATGCAAGCGTTGGAAGAACAAGGTGTAAAAATGAATCGGTTTTCATATTTGCAAATACAATCTAGATTTGATAAAGATTTTAAAACAGAAGGTATTTATGTTAAGTCGACTGATTTATATAAAATTCTGAGGGGTACTGATGAAAAGGTAATTTAAAAACTTTATGGACATTTATTAGAATTTAAGTTGGAGGAAGAACAAGTCAAACAAATGATGATTGCTTGGGGGGAAAATTTTGGATATGGGATTGATTTAGAGAAATGGCAAAAATTGTGGTCTCAAAATTATAAAATGACAATGTCAACTGCATATAAAGAAAATTTGTGTAAGATGTTTTACAGGTGGCACCTACCCCGATCAGAATTGCAAGAATGTTTAAGAACAAATTGGATAAATGTTGGAAATGTCATCAGATACCTGGTTCATATTATCATATGTGGTGGACATGCTCGGATGCAAAAAGATATTGGACTAAAATCCACACATGGTTGGAAAAAATGATAAAATAACACATAGACTTTAAACCAGATATTTTTTTATTGGGAATTATACCGGAAATATACAATACAGAGCTGAAATATTTGATTGTAAATGTTTTAACAGCGGCTAGAATTGTATTTGCTAAGAATTGGAAAAATGAAAAAATACCTATGCATGAGGAAGTTATTAAGAAAATTATGGACTGTGCTGAAGTGAGTAAATTGACATTTGAAATTAGAGAGCAAGAAGATAAGTAATTTTATATGATATGGGATTTGTTTTATCAATGGTTGGACAAAAAGACATGGTAATGTAAGAGATAATTTTGTAATAGAAGTTCAATAGATTGATATAAAATATAATATAGACATATATAACCATTGGATGAAAGTACAATATAAATTTTAAAATAGAATTTGGAATATCTCGTATAAAATGATGGAAGAAATAGTTTAGTCATGGATGATTAATAACTGATAAATATATAAGCATGTTACTTTGACAATGTGAAAAATTATATAAACTGTGAGTAATGACTACGAAAGGATAACACAAAAGATTTGTAACCAACTGACACACTGTATGTATATAAAATGGAAGATGGTTTTATGTTTTTATGTTTTGTTTGTACATATATGTTTGTCTTAAAAAATAAAAACTTTTATAAAAAAAAATTCAACTGAATTTATCTGTCTAATTTGAATGCTATCCAATGGAACACAACATGAAATTACTGTGCAAGTATACATTATATTTTTGAATAAGATTCAGGGACTGAACTAAAAACTAAATAAAAGCATGCTTCAAACTCATTTGTGAAATAGCAATATTATTACTGTATATTAATCCAGAAAATATTCACTAATATTATATTCACAGAAAAGCAAATAATGCATCTACTTGAAATATCATACTATAACATTAACAATTTACATATTAACTATATTAAGAAAAAATCACAAATAAGCAATACCATCAACCAGAAAATAGATCAAACAATAATAGATCAACAACCTAAATTTTATTTTCATTTTGCCATATATATTTAATGATCAATATAGAAATAAATACAACCATACAAAGCACTTTCAAATAAACTCATTTGATGCTAATAGAAATGGAACAAAGTAAAGAAGGATAATAATATGCTTGAGGGCATATATTTTTAAAGAGCCAACAATAAAACATATTTAGAAATCAGGGAAATCAAAAAAAAAAAAAAAAGATTAAAGAACAAGATGTTAGCATAACTGATCGGCTGACATCTAAATCAGAACCATGAAGTTAAAATTTGGTTATAGATCTGATTCTTTATTTTGGACAAGTAATATTTGTTCATTTATTTCAGTGTAATTAAATGGACAAGCATATTCAACTCTAGCAGGAAATACTCTTTATGTTTTCAGAGCATAATACTGGATAGTAGTTTAATTAATGAAATACACCTTCTAATTAGCCTTCCTATCACTATATAATATTGCAAGAGTTCCATACAGAAAAACATAAGGTTAACCATCTAACTTGCTTATTTTTTTGTCTTCAAAAAGGAGTCTCCTGCATAAATTACATCTCTTCACATAAATCCCTTATTAGTATCTTATGCTGCTTTATGGGCAACGCTGCATATTCAAATTTAGTTTTTACCATGAATTGCCACACATTACTTAAACAGATTGCCAGCAATAAAGTTTGCCTAAATTTGAAACATACTTCATACTCAAAATACCTCTAATAGCTTCATCATTCAGGGTTTTTTAATGATTGAAATAGTAACCGTAAATAATTTATTTTACTTTATTTATTCATTTATTTCATATGGCTACACACTTGCTAATTGTAGCATCAATTAGGTGGGCAAAAATGACTCAAGTATATACATCAGGATTTATATTATATCTCAAATGTAAATTGCTTTTAATTTTTCTTCAGTATTAGCAAGCATTAGCTTTATACACTTCCAGGAACAAAAGACCAGAGGTGTTTCCATGAAGAAAACTTATGAATAACTTTATCTTTTCTAATGCATTCAAAGAGATATTCAGAGTCTGCTGATGTAAGAAAAAATAAATTATTTAAGGTTTAACTGTGCTGCTTTTCCCTATTATCATTTTTTTTGCAGATGCGTTCATCCTATTTATTATTCTTTCTGATTTTACAGCAAGGCTCTTCTCTTTCAGGATATTGGCAGTCCTCTGCTATCACAATGAAGATCAGTACATTGCCAAAATATTTAATTCCACAGGATTATGAGAATGCTGAAATAAGCGTAATCTGAGGGAAAGAAAACTAATGAGCTGGTGACTTGTTGCAAAGTGGAAAAAAACATTTAAGCTGAGGAGAAAGGGGTAGAGTAGATACATCCACCTCCTCCTCTTGGCTCTTGTCCAAACTGCTAATTCAGCCAATTTTTCTGTGCTGAGTAATTTCTTTTTTCGCCAAGTTCAGTTCTGAGACCTAAGTCTACTTCGGATTTGGGAACACTGATTAACTATATAAAAAGAGAATGCTTCCTTCTGGAAAGCAAAATTACCACAGTGAAATACTCCATTTGCATACTCTTTATTTCCCAAAAGCCAAAATGATCTGGAAAATCAGAAGCATAACATGGTTGAAATGTCTTGCTATGTTACTGAAACACAGAAATCACTACAATGCTGTCATATTTTTGGTGTATCGTTTCTTTTTGTAATTTCATGGTATTTCTAAAAATCAAAATATAAGAATCTTAATTTCTGTGTAAATTGAATTAATGTGTCCACTGTGCTACAAAACCAGACCTACCATTATGAAGAAAATCAGGCTGATTTATGTTGAGTTATCAAAAGTAAGTCAGTAATGAATTCAACAGAATTTACTACTGAGCAAACTTCTCCAGAATTGTACTTTACATATTTCAAATAATAGCTGGAAAGAGAACATGAATGAAAGCATGATATAGTAGTTAAGGTGTTTAGCGAGAGGAAGGAAGACCCTGGTTTTAGTCTACTCCCAGGCATGGAGATGCGTTGGATGACTTTGGACAAGTCACACTCTCTTTATCCAACCTACCTCACAAATTATTGTTCTGGGTGGGGGGAAGTGGGGAAATGGGAGGATAGAGCACTATGTATGCTGTCTTGAGTCCCAAAATGAAAATAGGATATAAATCTAATATTAGAAAGACAGGGCAATATTGTGTTTAACTTATTGCTATAAAAATAACATTGAAAGAAATTACAAATTTTGTGCTATACTGAAAGGTTTTATTTACTGAAATAATGTAAAAATGTAGATAGACTGCAATATCAATCAATAAAATCTTACCCCAGCATAATTTTGGCATAAGCCTCTTTGTTAGTCCTTGAAATTTCTCTCAAAGAGGTAATTTCTGCATCAAACCAGAATCCTCTTTCTTCTGGACTCTCTACGTTGTAATTAACCATTACTGTATCACCTACATGTAATTCCTTCCATTTCAAAATAGTTCTTGCTCGAGGCCGCAGATTATGGACATTCATTTCCACAATGCCACTTTCTGGGTATCTTGAAGAAAGAATGAAAACAAAAGTTGTAATAACCTCAATATCATAATACACATTTAAAAAAATCTATATAATACAACAGCTCCTTAAAAATCCTTAAAAATCAAGTCCATAATGTATGGGGACCTGCTTTTGAAACAGCAGAATTTTACTGTCAATGTGAGAAGTGTTCCCCAAAGACCATTAATGCACATGAAGGATTGTGAAGATATTTAAAGAATCTCTCTGTGCTGTTTTTTTTTTTAATTATGTGACACGCTGATGGGACTGAACTGGCTTTTAACTATAACACATAAAATAAATATCAATGGGGCATTATACAGTATAACTCATTGACAGAAAAATGCTCTTATTTCTTAATGTGATTATAAAGAAGTGAGCATAAATCTGAATAATAATCTTATTTTGAGATATATAGAAGAACACAGTTCTAAAATGTATTTGCAAATAAACCCTAGTAATTTCAGTAAAACATAAGATTTAGAATTTCAGTGTCGTTTCCGTTTCCACAAATAATGATAACAAAAGGTCTCAAGAGGCATCTAAAGCTGCGATGATATGTTTCAACAGTAGTCTAGGCCAGTGGTCACCAACTGGTGGGCGGGACCACTGGTGGTCCGCGAGATAAAAAATTATTATTATTTTATTAGTCGAACAAAAAGGAAAAACATTTAAAAACAATGAATGTTGTGTATACATCCCGACACACCTGCTTATCTTACAATATAAAAAATACACACACACACACACATCATCTTTGATACACTTATTCGTTCCTTCTTTTCAATCTGTGGTAAAACTTCTCCCAAATTTTATAATAATCAGATTCAGTCTTATTTTTTAATTCTTTGAGTTAATTTATCCATTTCAGTGCACATCCAAATTTTCCTCATTATTTTCACTACCTTTCCATCTTTGGGCAAAAGCTAACCTTGCAGCAGTAGTGACATGGACTATTAGGTATGTTACATCTTTATTATAGTCTCCCATATTAATTCCCAGTAAGAAGATTTCAGGTCTAAATTCTATTTTAATTGTATACATCTCTTCTATCCAATTTCTAATTTTCAACCAATATATTTGGGCTCTTTTGCAATTCCACCATAAGTGATAATATGTTCCAATTTCTTTATTGCATTTCCAACATTTGGGGGATAGTTTCGGATAAATTTTTGCCAATTTTGATGGTGGGATGTGCCATCGGTAAAACATTTTATATAAATTTTCTTTATATGGTGCCGCCAAAGTTATTTTTTTATTTCTATCCCATAAGGTTCGCCAATCATCCAAATTTATGCCATATCCAAAATCTTTCATCCAGGCCAACATTATTTATTTTACTTTTCCTTCTTCCAATTTACATTCCAATAGCACTTTATAAATTTTTAAATCAATTTCTCATCTGTTCCCAATAGTATTTTATCTAATTTTGTTTTCCAGCTTCATGCAAAATTCATATTAGTGGTCCATGGGATTTAAAATTATGAATTTGGTGGTCCCTGAGGTCCAAAAGGTTAGCAACCCTGGTCTAGGCTAATATTGAGAGACTTTAGATAGAAGTTCTTACATGTAAAAACAACTACAGGTTTCAAACTTTAAATATATATTCATATCATAACATTAATAGTTATCAAAATGATTACAGCTTTGGTAGGTTTCTGTTCTAAGAGATAGAAAGCCAAAGATCATTTGGCTGCATGAATTTAATTGTACAACTACTTATAAAAACAGATTGAATATACAGTATTTTTGAAAACCTATCTCTATCAGTAAAACAAACAAGCTCTATTTATATAGAAAGGGGTTGCTTCTCCACATTCTGTGTTACAGATTAACACTTATGATTATATCATACAATCACATCTATCTCTAGTTATATCAGTTATCAAAAAAGGCTTTTATAAAAAGATTAAATACAACATCAATGGAATTAAATCTCTAACCACTGAAATTTCTTAAAATTCTAGTTCAGAAAACAACTTTTATAATGATGCATTTATATAAATCACAACTGGAGACCTTTCAGTCCATTGGCCACTGTATTCTCCATCCATCCATCATCCATCCATCCATCACCTCTACTCAAGATCTTCCTTCCTATAGTTCATATTTAGAAGAGGAGCTACTTTCATACCAACAAGCATGAAAAAAATCAGGAAACTGCTCATGGAAGAAAAAACTCTTTCCTTGCAACAAGGACAGTTCCAATTCCTTTCTCTACTTTATAATAAAGAAACTTGATTTCTCATCTTTTCCATTTGTATTAAGCCAAAAATCAGTAAAGCATACACAGCAGAATGGAATGTGATTATGCCTCCAGGAAAACAGATTCTCTGTCCCACAATCAAAGTAGGCCTTGGATGTAAAAACCATACAAACTGTAACACACACTGTTTTAAAGCAATTCATCTACAGGCAGAAACTAATCTAAATGCCACACTTCTACATGCCAAGCAGCAATTTAAAAAGTGCACAATGGGAGTAAAAATCCGAATAAAGTATGCATAGCTCATACTAATGACTTTGAAATCTCATAATATTAGGGAATTTTTAATCTAGCAAAAGATGAAAATGTGGAATCTAATGAATATTGTATTTATTCAGATGAGTTATATACTTTCTCAAATGCCTTAGGGCAGCATACACATAGAACAATAAACAAAATACATAGCATAAAATATAACATTGCATAAAATATAGCATAAAATATAACACTGATATAAAAATTCCAAGATATTTTACCAAAGAGGTAGTCACATTGGACAGGAACTCAAATCCCATGTCTGGGGGAAAGAGGGATGCCAGGTCTTTAGAAAAGATAGGCTGGGGTTGAGGTTACCAAAATCTCAGGGTAATGCTGTTCCATAAGACATACATAATGAAAGAATGGCATTTTTAAGAGATGAAGACATGCCAACTCTGTTGGATCTTATCATCAAAAGGGAAGAGGTGCAAATAATCTAGTCTTGTTCATGAAGGGTTTTAATGGTGAATAACCAGCACTCTGAATTCCACCCAGAAGCCCACTAGCAACCAATGTAGCTTACAAAGTAGAGATGCACATTAAAGGGGGTCTCCAACCTTTTGGACTTCAGGGATCACCAAATTCATAATTTTAAATCCTGTGGACCACTAATATGAATCCAGCATGCTGCTCGCTGAAGCGCCTGGACTCCCATTGACAGGATGGGGTCCTTCAGGCACTTAGCTTGGCTGCCTGTTTCTGCAACCTTAAATATTCAAAGAGTCATTTGGACCCATTTCCCACAGAAAACAAAACACCGGAATCTCTCATCTCTCTCTCTCTCTCTGTGTATGTGTGTCTTGACTCTCTTTCCTACTCTTTCTCTGTGTGTCGTGTCTCTCCCTCTTTCCCTCTCCTCCCTCTTTCTTTCTCCCTTTCTCCCTCTCTCTTTCTTTCCCTTTCTCCCTTTGTCTTGTCTCTCTCTTTCCCTCTTTCTCCCTTTCTCTGTCTGTCTTGTCTCTCTCTTTCTTTCCCTCTCCCTCTTTCTCCCTCTTTTTCTGTGTGTGTGTGTGTGTGTGTGTGTGTGTGTGTGTGTGTGTGTGTCTTGTCTCTCTCTCCCCCCAGAGGTGGGGGTGAAGGGAAAGGAACCTCTGAACTGGTGCTGGGTGGTGGGAATCTGATATCTGGAGGCCGATGAGCCATGTGCTGAAGACCAGATGGCTGGCGGGGAGGTGAGGCAATCCTGCAGTCTCCCTAGCAAACCCATGTCGTGGCTGCTGCCTCATGCCTCTACGCATCAAGGAGGCTGAGCAGCAGTGGGAAGAGTGCAGACCTCCTGAGCTGCCAGCAATGCCCTCAGGTGAAGATGTTGTGAGGGGGAGGTTCGACCCTCCCCTCAGGAGCCGCAAAGCACTCACCACCCTTCTGGCATCCACCAAGCCGCCTCCTTCCCACTGAGCATGTGAGCGCGGTGGGAGGAGGCTTGGCGGCTGCCAGAGGGGTAGTGAGCGCTTTGCGGCTCCTGAAGGGAGGGGTGTGGGAAATTGCATCCTCCCCTCGCAGGGCAGGGAACATCTGGGGAGGGCTCTGATCCTGCAATCTCCCGTGCGCTACCCTCCCTCCCCGCGCACATCAATCCATCCGCAGCTGGTATCACCCGTTGCAGACACAGGTGCGCTGCAGACCGCCAAAATTTTCTCACAGATTATTAGTGGTCCGTGGACCACCAGTTGCCAAAGTACACTCATAACTACTCATGTAGTTACATTCTGAAGTAGCTGCAGCTCCCAAAAAATCATCAAGAGCAGCTTTGGAGTGTACGTTGCAATAAGAGGTGACCAATGCATGAATGTTAGTATGGCCTCTCAATCCAGGAAAGGGCACAAACAATGCACAAAATAAAATGCATAGAGGACAGAATGAAAGGCCTTGAAAGATAGAGGAAAAATTGTTCCCAAGGCAATGGTCACTTATTGAGTTTGGAACAAGAATATAGCCTAATATGAATATAAGTTTCATTCAGACTATAGTTGCTATAGTTTTACAATAAAAACACTACTGACGTACACAATTAGTGACTGAGAACCTTAACAGCATCACTTGGCAGCAAGAGGTTGAGGTGTATAGTTAGTATACTTATCTATTTAATTCCATGCCAATAGATGACCCAATGGATTTCTACTGATATCATCATTATCATCATCATCATCATCATCATCATCATCATCATCATCATCATCATCATCATCATCATAGCCATTGTCTATCTACTGCAGGATGAAAAATGTTACATCATGTTTCCAACCAATATGGTCTTGTGCTTTCTTTCGCCAATTGGGCCCAAAATACTTGTGGATGTTATGGGAGTAGAGAAAGAAGTACTGAGGTACCTCATAAATCAAGTCAAGGGTTTGATATCTCCCTGTTTCCAACACTAACTGGAACTGATCCTGGAAGAAAAACCACCACAAAACTGTATCTTCACTTCCAACCCCACAAGCTGGTCCAGAAGCATACCATGATTGGTGGTACTGAAG